TACAGCTTATTCACGAAGTCTAAGATTAGGGCATGTTCTCAGTCACTTTGGAATTAAAGATGGTGAGCTCTTTCTGGAGACACTAAGTAATAGTTATCTCTTATGTGGGCTTTGATGACTAAGAATGAATAGTTTATCAACATAGTTTTAAGAGCTAGTTAGTACCTTCATTTTGGTGCTATAACTTGCAGAAGTTGAAAAAGGTTAAAAATAAAGCAATTATGGGAATGCAATTCTGATGACATCTACTTTAGAAAGGATTAAGAGGCACTAATAGAATTATAAAGCCCTTCTGACCATGCAACTTTAGTTGATTAAATCAGAATATTACATCTTTCTGACTGTGCTTGAGAAGAGCTCTAGGTTGTAGTTAATACAATTATTGAAATTTTACTGAAATAAAATTATGTTTTCTCCCACATGGATAACATTTTAAAGGTAATTTGTCATATATATTTTATTATAATTAATGGTCATCACTTCTATCAGACTCATCAAATAACCTGCATATTGTTTTCACCACCAATCTTATTGGCCTCCATTTCTAGTCTAAAATAAGTGAAGACAGATTCATTAAATTGAACACAAATACAGCATTGTCTTTTCCTTCAAATATTTTGAAAGGTAACTAGTAATTACAGGTAAAGTACTAGCTCCCAGAATACCAGTTAAGTCTTACGTGATTTGGATCCACCACCTCTTGCCAGTTGTCAGCTTATCACTATCCTTCTAGCCTTATTTTCTCATAAACCCTTGCCACATGTGGTTGTCTTGACCTAAAATATCCAACCTGTAACTCTAGATTGAAAACTGCCAATATTCTAGAGGATTTGTGTGTTGTGTCCTATATTATATATTCCCATACTCACCTACCCTGCACAAATTTCTAGTTGCTCCATGTTCTCTATCTTCAAAACAGCAAGTTCATCTAAGCTTTTATCAAGCTTTAAAAGCCTGTCTATAAATGTCACTATACGTTCCCACGGACAGTAGTTTTTTTTTTTTTTAAGATTTTTATTTATTTGTGCATACAGAAATGGGGTACAGGCCAGAGGCTCAGGGGCGGCAAGAGGCTTCACCAGAGACAGAATGGGGAAACAGAACAGGCAGATCAACGAAGTACACTGCTGAGGGGAGCAGCGGGTGGGTCAGGAGAGGTCTGCCGCGCCATGTGGTCCCCTCCGGGGCAGGCGGGAATCGAACTCATGCGGAGTGGCCTTAGATTCTCAGTGCTGTGCTTCAACCCGCTGCGCCACCAGGGAGGGCCTTCAAGGACAGTAGTTTTACATGTGTACTTTCAATTGAATTTCAGTGAGTTCAAGAGTGGATATATGAGTGCTCTTTCTGAAGCAGCCCAGACCATTGCCTAGACAGTTGATTGGTTCCTTCCTTTCTTCCTGTAGTATTTTCCATGTATTTCCAGGGTGGTACTTATCATTTCATGCCTCTCTCTCCCCAGCATGGTTTATGAGCAGTCATTCTTTTCTATTTTTGTAGATTCTAGTACCTAGTAGTCCTCAATAATTCTTTATCACAAGAATGAAAACCTTGAAAGCATGCCTCTCAAAATTGTGGGAAGCATTATAGTTAATTCCAGACTCTTGATTCAAAATTACTTTTTTTTTTTTAACATGAGAAGGCTATAAACATGGATCAAGACCAGCTAAATTTCATGGAAAGAGGTATAGAGTTCTAAATTTAGGTACATACTGTGTTTCATTTGCAAGGTAAGAAGGAATTAAATCAATAGCTTATGACTAAAAGAAACCCATTCCTACATACTTAAAAGGCACAGAAGTAAAGCAAGAGATTGAGTCCGATTATACTTTGAACTCTTCAACATATCTTTAACATTGTGTAATCAATGAGGCATGTTAACAGAATAAATTTTAGAAATGGCTAATAGGCTCTAGGTGGCTGAAAACCATGAACAAGAGGACCACAGGTAATGGGAATACCTAGCATGGAAATAAAAAAGTAGGTAGACGGGGAGAATAAGAGGTTTTAGCTAAGATTCCAGTGCCACCTAGTTCAGATTGTTAGTGTTTGGACAGCTTCATTTTAAAAATGAGGAAACGGAAGCAGAGAGTTTAATGGAGTATCTGAGCTTTGTTAGCTAACAGAGCTAGGAATTAAACTCAGATCCATTATTCTAAGCTGCTGTAAGAGTTTTTTTTTTTATGATTGATTCATATAGCATTTGTTTTTTTCTCCTCAACTTCTAATTACACTAGTAAGCATATTTTGGTAGGTCCTAGCTATGAGCCCTCTGTTCACCACTGGAACGATTCAGGGAGTCAACTGTCAACAGTTTTAGAGTTTGGACTTGAAAACCTTTTTTTGTCACTTCATATTCTAAGACTAAAATTCTGTAATACAGAATAATTATTTGAATCAATGTATAAAATCCTTCATAACCACACAATGTAGTTTTGGGTCTGGAGTCAAATAGATCTTTTTTAAAAGATTTATTTATTTATGCATACAGAACTGAGGTACAGGTCAAAGGTGCAGAGACCATGAGAGGATTCATCAGAGACAGAGTGGGGAGCAGAACAGGCAGACTGTTGAAGTACACTGCTGAGGGAAGCAGCAGGCAAGACCGGGGAGGGTGCATATGGGCTCAATTTCCTACTCTCCCACTTAACCAGCTCAGAAGACTGGACACATTATTTAACCATTCTTGGTTTCAGAGTATTAATTGGTAAAATGAAGATCATATTTAACTCATAAAATTATTGTGAATAATAAATGGATTATATAAAGCAACCAAAGTGAGCAGCTCATAGAAGTCGACAAGTATTAGTGTTAGCTGTGTATGTAGAGCAGTGGGAGAAACTGTCAAAGAAAGGGGCATATTATAAATGGTCTAAGAGCAGAATCCTGGAGGACACCATCCAATTGCTGTGCTGGGTTGCACAATACCTGCACACTAACTCTCAAATTCTTATACATTGGGTAACTTATATTATGACCTTGTTTGGAATTAAGGTCTTTGTAGAAATAATTAAGACCTGATCATGGTGGGATAGAATTCAATAACTGGTATTCACCTAAAAGAGCAAGTTGGATATGGAGACATGCACAAAGAACATTAAGTGAAAACTAGAGGAGACTATCATATGAAGACACAGAGACAGTGGAAAGATAGACACGTGACAACAGAAATAGAGATTGGAGAGCTGTATTTATAAGCTTAGGCATACCAAGATTGCTGGCAACCACCAGAAGCTAGGAGTCAATGGTGTATCCCTTGAGCCTTTATATAGAGCATGACCTTGTTGATAACCTTAATACTAGGACGTCTATTTTACAGAACTGTCAGAGAACATTTTTTTTTGTCATCCAGGTTGTGGTATTTTGAGAAAGCATCCCTAGAAAACTAATACAGCCAGTGAGCAGTATGGAAAAGACAGGATGGGTAGTAATAGCACTGTAGCTTCAATATATTAATATAATCTCAATGAAGCCTCACAAATACCTTGTGAAGTGTCAGGACAGTTTACAAATAAGCTGATGGGGATCATCATATGTATCAGCGACTTTGACAGCCTGGCAGAAGTAGAATTCAAACCTGTTTGGGCCCTGCTTAAAACTATGACCTTACCAAGCCTTGCTTCACCCTTGAAGATTTGTCTCCCATCACAACTCCAACTGCATTCTTTTAGCTCCAGCAACTTGCTTTCAGGAAACTCACTTATCAGTGAATTCTATTTGTCACACTGTCCAAATCTAGGCATTGTAAAGACCTAATTCTTACTATAGAAAGACCTATCTTTTATCTTAACGTTCGGACAGCTAGAGCGTTAAGAAAGAAAGATACTGGGGAAAAACAAGTCATTCCTCCTCCCAGCTTCTTTGAGATAAGGCAATAACCTAGCTTCCAGTTTTCATGGGCAATTTCAAGTAGAAAGAATATAGCGATGGGCCCTCCCTGGTAGCGCAGTGGGTTAAAGCACAGCACAAAGAAGCTTAAGCCACTTCTGCGTGAGTTTGACCCCCTCCTGTCCCGGAGGAGATCCACATGGCGAGGCAGACCTCTCCTGACCTGCCCGCTGCTCCCCTCAGCAGTGTACTTCGTCCATCTGCCTGTTCTGCTCCCCGCTCTGTCTCTAGTGAATCCTCTCACCCTCCACATCTCTGGCCTGTACCCCAGTTCTGTATGAATAAATAAATCTTAAAAAAAAAAAAAAGAATATAGCGATGTAAAATTAAGTTGCAAACAATCCCTATATTAAAATTCCTATGTAATTTACACAATAGCACAGATTTACTGGCTTTTTTTAGTTCACACAGTTCCCCAGCTTTCAGCAGGAAGCGTTGGTTTAATTTTCCTTCCACTCAAACAGCTTGTTCCTCCACAGATTCGTAATAATTTTTGCTTTCTTTAGTTTAAAATAAATAACTGCACCAGAACTTATCAAATAAAACGTTGTGTTATTCTGTATAGCATCCACAGTACAGGCTTTGAAGTCAGTAAAAGTCCTGGGGTCCCGGTTTGCAGTACGGCGCTGGGACGTTATTTAATCAGTTTCCGTTCGCAATAAGTAAGAAGATAACGTCTATCTTCGGCATTTTTTGCAAAGAATAAATAGTAGCAAAAACACCTGGCACAGCAAATTTTGTCCAAAGTTTGCAGGAATCAAAGTCGGCGGCTTACTTCTTCCCGAGCGGCTCTGACGCAGAGAAATCTCCGAGCACCCGCGCGCGCCCGGAAGGCTCAGCCTCGGCGCCCTCTGAGGGCGCGTCCGACGGGAAGGACCCGGGGTCGGCACCGCCCCATTTGGGACGCCCGACTCGCCTGATCTCGCTCCTCTAACCCACCGCGCGACCCGACCAGACCAGCGGCTGCTCGAGCCTCTGCCTCCTAGTTCCCGAGGTGGAGGGGCCGGCGAGGATCTGCAACGACACGGAGTGAGGCACACCCTGGACAGCCCGGCGGGCGCGCCGCGGCCATGAGAGGCCCCCGCCGCCGCAAACGCATGCGCACAGAGCCCGGCCCGGCCCCCCGCCCGAGCTCGGCCTGTGGGCTCCCGCTGCCGCACCTCTCCACCCATCTCCTCACCACCATGCCCCTCTACGAGGGTCTGGGAAGCGGAGGGGAGAAGACGGCGGTGGTGATAGACCTGGGAGAAGCCTTTACCAAGTGAGTAGCCGCGGCGTCGGCGGAGTGCGAAGGGAGGGTGGGTGGCGGAACCCCAAGTCTGGATAGATCCTCACCTCGGGTTTGTGGGAGCAGTCGTCTCATCTACTCTCACAGCACTTTCGTAAAAGACTGCCCTGGTTATTGCTACCGTGGGCGATACTAACTTCTCGGATTCAGTCGGCCGTCAGGTTCAGCTCCATAGAGAGGCCCAATGCGGGAGAATTGTTTTCGCGGTCTCCATGGGTTCTCGCCCCAAAACGAACGAATCCTTCGGAGTCAGGCATCCCATGCAGCGGATGCAGGCCGTCACCTAGCCGTTCCCTAATTTGGGTTTGTTTGCTTAGGAAATTACCAACTGTGTTGTAACTCTTAGTACACTTTTCATCATTAAATATTTATTGAATGGAGCTTCTCTTGCTACTGGAAATCCCAAGTATGTTTAAGACAGAAAATTGAGTTAACGAAGCTGAACACGTAAACAAAGAAGTGAAATATATTGATATTTACAAGATCCTTTGTTTGCCCTTTGCAGTCTTAGATTAGGAAGTGGTGTGTTTTAAAAGGTAATTTGTAAACACTCGTGTAATGGTTCTCAATATTTTAAATGACATAGATCCCATCTGACGACCGAATGAAGACCACACATCCGTGAACCTTAAATATTTACACAGTTTTAGGTAGCTGGCAGACCATCACAGTGGCCCTTGGGAGTCCAGGTTAAGGAACCCTTGTTTTAGATTCAAGAAAGAGGAAAGTGGCAGCCAGAGCTGCCTCTTTTATGTTTTGAAATGGAAACGTTTGAAAATCTTATTAAAGCTGTAAATAGTGCCCAGTATATAGTAAGCATTTTATAACTGCTCAAAGAGTCCATTTAAAAATTGTACATCAGGAAAATGCACAAAAATATGTAAAAGTAAATTATTATAAAATTTAAAAATAAATAAATAAAATTTTACATCAGGTACTCCAGAATTAAACATAATCCTTGGTTTTAACATTTTTCTTACTGTTGTGTAGGATTCTCCCTCAGTGATTTTTAAAGTTTTTTTTTTAAAAGGTTTTATTTATGCATACACAACTGGGTACAGGCCAGAGATGTGCAGGGGTGGTAAGAGGAGTCACCAGAGACAAAGTAGGGAGCAGAACAGGCAGATTGTCAAAGTACATTGCTGAGGGGAATAGTGGGGGAGACAGGAGAAGACTGCTCCTCCATGTGGGTCACCTCCAGGCCCAGTATCAAACTTGTGTTTCAGTGACTGTGGATGGCTTCATAGTGCAACACTTTAACCCGTTGTGCCACAGGGAGGGCCCTGATTTTTTAAGTTTTTTTATAGCATAATTAAGTGGCTTGAGGCTAACATCCAAAGATAAATTGAGATATGACGAACAAAAAACTAATAGGTGGTAAGGTGATTTCTGAAGACAGCAGGAAATATAATAAGATGAATTTGTGAAGTAAAAGAAAGGAATTGAAGCTAGGCAGTGAAAATTTGAGGACCACTGGTGCAAGTAAAAATGAAGGCATGCCCTCCCTGGTGGCGCAGTAGGTTAAAGCACAGCACTGAGAAGCTAAAGCCACTTCCGCATGAGTTCGATCCCGCCTGCCCCGGAGGTGACCACATGGCGTGGCAGACCTCTCCTGACCCGCCCGCTGCTCCCCTCAGCAGTGTACTTCGTTGATTTGCCTGTTCTGCTCCCCACTCTGTCTCTGGTGAAGCCTCTCACCGCCCCTGAGCCTCTGGCCTGTACCCCAGTTCTGTATGCATAAATAAATAAATCTTTAAAAAAAAAATGAAGGCATAACTAGTAGAAGGGGGTGGGAGCTCTTTGAGAATAGGAGGAAAGACATACTGAAAGCTAGACAGGACAAAAAGAGAATGTTAAAACTAAACTTACATGATGGGCACTTTAAGCACTATGTTTAACAAATACATTAATTTAATAATGTATTGAATGGTAATACATAAGTACTCAAGAAAGGAGAATCACTTTAAAAAGATAACATACTATGCAATTTTTAAATGATAGCATTGAAGAATATGGTAGAAACTTATTGTATGGTTTCATGATGTATGAAGTGCATGATTATAATTATGTCAAACATGAGTAGCATACAAAATAGGCCAAAAGTAAACACATCAAAATGGAAGCTAGTAATATTAGAATGGTAGACTTAATGAATGGCATTTGAACAGTATGCATGAAGTCATATAGTTCAGATCCAGGGTTGTAAGTCTTTGAAACTTAAAATTCAGGTAGTTAAAAACTGAGGAAAAAAGTAAATGCTGCCATAAAATAATACACTAGGTTGTTTTAGCCTCAGCAATTTAAGACATACTAGTTTTCTTTAATATGTATGCCATTATAATAATTGCATTCAATTATTTTTCACTAGTTTTTGTGAAAAAATGAGTAGATTGAATGTTGTAAGTTGAATGTTCCTATTTTCCTTTGCAGGTGTGGTTTTGCTGGAGAAACTGGTCCAAGATGCATAATTCCTAGTGTGATTAAAAAAGCTGGCATGACTAAGGTATTTTTTTTAACAATTAGCAAAATAAATGCTGTACTGTAAAGTATTTTTAAATATGTCTTCAAATAGAATTGATTAGAAAAGTATGAAATATATAATGTTAACTGAAGAATTTTTTTAATTATAATTTTGCTTACTGTAAAATTCACCTGTTATAATTTACAGTAAATTTATAAAGTTGTACAGCCACCACCACCATCCTTTTTTTTTTTTTTGTCATTTCGGTAAGAACATTTTACAGTTAATTTACAGTCCATTTACAGTTAATCTGTATGTTCTTTTGCTTTATATAGATTTGTCTTTCCTGCACATTTTGTTTGTTAATAGCTACTGAGATAATGCAGATAGAAATAAGTTTTAATGCAGATAGAAATAAGTTTTAAGCTAGTGGAGCTGTTGTTAAAGGGGGGCCAGGTGAAAATAGCCCAGTAGTCATGAGATGATCTGCTCTTGAGAAGGGAATCCCTAGAACAGGATCATTTACACTTTTTAAAAATACATCACAGGATATTCAGCTGTGAGGTCTGAGCTGATGACATTTTCTTGATTTATTAAGATTATAAACTGCTATCATGCCTATATACAAACTACAGTTATCACATACAGACATTATTTCCTTATTAACAATTGAGTACTAGTATATTTGGTTTTATAAAAGAATATGTTGTAGCAGAATGGACTAACACTTCTTATTTGCTCTTGGAACGCATCATTAAGGTTGACATACAAAATACTTTGATTGAAAAATTAAATGGTGATGCTTCATTAGGGAATCATTATATTGATTTCAAAGCTTTGTACAATTCCTTGGACAGTCAAGAAATAAAGTAGATATTTGTGGTATGATACTCAAATATGGATGGAAGTTCCCATCTACTTTTTGTTTTACTTTACAATTGCTATTATGGTATTACTAAAATAGATTCTGACTGGGTTTAAATTTTTGCATTCTTTTTGGTGCTTTTCTTAGAGCTTTCAACTTTTATCTTCGTCTGAACAAAACTATATTTAAAGATTAATCTACATGGTTTGGAACCTTTAAAGCCACATAAAGTCAAGAAGTTAATTGAGCTGATGGTTTTGAAAGCTCTGCCAGTGATGCATCAGAGTACCTGCAGCTTTTAAAGGAGCCTAAATAAACCCCCTCATTAGTGCATTAATATTGACTTAACATTCATGGCTTAGTAGTGTTTGCACATACTACTTAAGTGCTAATGGTGTGTAGTTTTCATTTTTACCAGCATATTTATGAGCTACATGCTTTGTGCATGGCACTCTCATTTGAAGGAGAATGTTTTGTAAGCAAACCAGAAAGTTCTTTCCCCACAGTACATAGATGTTCTTGGGAGTTAGGCTTTATACAGGTAATTAAGTGGGAAAATGTTACAAACACTACTGCATTGTGTTTGTATCTAATATTAAGTGGGATAATGTTAGAAAAAGGAATGTGTCAATGTTTTGGAAGTCACTAACAGGGACTAAATCAAGTTTTGAGAATTTGAAGTAGCTTTGATTCCCTTTAATTAGTGGCTGATTTTTACCAGTCCTACCAAAATGTTTAGACAGAAAAAAAATGTAAATATGCACAGCTCCTTGTGGATGAAATTTTATCCTCATAAACCAAGATATTTCCATCATCTTATATGCCAGTTCTTAAAATTACTAATGTAAGTACTTGCTCTATATTTAGCTTTTTGCATTCTCAATACAAATTGCTTTTGATTTATTATCAGAAAATATCTTACTAAAGAAGCGTGTTTTAATTTTAGACTTAGGTCATTATAAATTAATAAATCACTTTCATATTTTATAGCCTATCAAAGTTGTTCAATATAATATCAATACAGAAGAATTATATTCCTACTTAAAGGAATTCATCCACATACTATATTTCAGGTAAGGTGTAATTATGCTTCTTTTCCTACTCAATTTTTGTGATTAGGTTTTTCTAATTTCAGTCACAAGGCATTTTGGTTATATTACATCTGCTGCAGAAAAAGAAGTTGACTTCCATTCAGATTTTATTATTTATAACCTTTCAAAAATGTATTTGAACTAGAAAACTGGCAAATATAAAGGAAATACTGAAAACAAATGTCTCTTTCTAGAGGTGATTATGATATAGCTGTTCAAAAACTCTATAGTGAGTGTTTTTAAACAAACTGTGTGGTTTTAAAAAAACTGCTCAGAAAAAATAAATATGTGCACATGTACTGACCCAGAAATGTGTCTTAGATATATTGGTAAATAGAAAAAAGCAAGTTGCAGAGCAAATCTTTGGAATATATATCTCTTAAAACATATGCATATACACAAATATACTTAATAAGAAAGATACACAAATTATTCCTTAAAATTTGGAGTTTTGTAAGCATATATTATTTTATGAACTGGAAAAAAATTTTAATGGCACAAGTTAGTATTCATAATAGAGAGTAGTTTGTTTTCTGAGAAAAATGAGTTTAAATTCCTGAGATAGTTGTGGCAGTAGTAAAAAGTCAGAAACTTTTTTCCCGAGTAATAAAATGAAGATGTCTTTTTATCATTGAGCATGTTAAGCTAAGATGGGACAGTTTCTCCATTCTAAATAAATTGCTTTGTGTACCAAAATAAATGTAAGCTTTTATTTATTAAAAAAAAACTTGTTTTTCAGGCATCTATTGGTGAATCCGAGAGACCGCCGAGTTGTGGTCATTGAGTCGGTATTATGTCCTTCCCACTTCAGAGAGACACTCACTCGTGTCCTTTTCAAATATTTTGAGGTACCTGTTTTAATTATTTATTTTTTTGACGTAGCATTGGCTTACAATGCTGCATTATGATTTAGGAGGATAGATTCACAGCTTCTAGGATGTTATGTCACCACACCATACTCACCACCAAAGCACCTGTCGTCCTTTATCATAGACTAGTGGACTTCCTCTTTGTTCATCGGCCTTCTCCTGCCACCTTCTAGTATCCTCAGTTTTGCAGTAGGATTTCTAGGCTTTGTTTTGATTCAGTTCTATCAGTTTCTGTTTTCCATATAAGTGAAATCATCATCCAGTATTTGTCTTTCTCCTTCTGACTTATTTCAGTTTACTCCCCTCCAGTTCCATCTGTATTGTCATAGATGGCAAAAGTTCTTTTTTCCCAGTAGCTGAGTAGTATTCCATTGTGTTTGTATACCACATCTTCTTAGTCTATGGGCATTTAGGTTGTTTCATTAACTTGGCTTTTGTTAATACTGCTGCTGTATGTATAGAAGTACATCTCTCCCTTCAAATTTGTGTTTTGCATTCTTTAGGTAGATAACAAGGAGTAGAATTACAGATATATTTTTAATTTTTGAGAAATCTCCATATTGTTTTTCATCAGGGTGGAATAGTCAATCTTCCTACCAAGAGGACACTAGTGCTCCTTAGTTGTTTTTAGTTTTTTGATGTGGGCTATTTTTTTTTAAAGATTTATTTATTTATGCATACAGAATTGGGATACAGGCCAGAGATGCAGGGGTGGTGAGAGGACTCACTAGAGACAGAGTGGGGAGCAGAACAGGAGGACTTAATGAAATACATTCCCAAGGTGAGCAGCAGGCAGGTCTTCGAACCATGTGGATCAGCTCCCTGGCCAGGAATTGAACTCATGCTGCAGTGGCTGCAATAGCTTCACAGTGCGGCTCTTTACTCCATTGTGCCACCAGGGAGGGCCCGATATGGGCCATTCTAACTAGAGTAAGATTGAAGCTTTGATTTGTATTTCCATGATGATGAGTGATGTTGAACATTTTCTCATGTGCCTGTTGGCTATTTTGAGTTAGTTTTTGTGTGTGATGTGAGAGAGTAGTCTAGCTTCACTTGTCTGCTTGTGGCTGACCAGTTTTCCCTGCACCATTTGTTGAAGAGACTTTATTTCCCTTCTCCATTGTAGACTCTCCTTTGGTGTAGTGCTGTTGTTTTTGTTAGGTACTCACAACTTGAAGTTTCTCACTTTATCTCCTTCATTGTATATGTTACACAATGCATTCAAGAAAATAAATGACAAGTAAACTGAGGTCTCTTCAAATTGACCACTTATTTTCCTTATTTGTATGTTTAGTTAGCATTTCATACAAGCCTTAGAAAATTTGCCCTCTTGGGGCCCTCCCTAGTGGTGCAACGGGTAAGGTACAACACTGCAAGCTAGCAGCAGGTGCTTCAGTGTGTGTTAGTTCCCCAGCCTGGAGGTGATCCACGTGGCACAGCAGACCTCTCCTGACCCACCCGCTTCTCCCCTTCATTGATCTGCCTGTTCTGCTCCGCACTCTGCTCTCTGGTGAATCCTCTCACTGTCCCTGCATCTCTGGTCTGTACCTCAGTTCTGTGTGCATAAGTAAGTAAAACTTGTTAAAAGAACGAAAGAAAGAAAATTGGTCCTTCTTGATGTTTCTTTTTTTTTCTGCTTTGCCCATTGCTCCCCCTCAGCAGCAAATTTCAGTAGATCTGCCTATTCTGTTCCCCACTCTGTCTCTGGTGAATCTGACCCCTGCACTTCTGGCCTGTACCCCTTTTCTTGTATGCTTAAATAACTTTTTTTTTTTTAAGTTCTATTCAGGACTAATAACTTATGTTTTGATATCAGTAATATATCTTATAAATTTCACTTTATAGTAGAGTCAAGATTATTTTAAAGACCAAAATTACAATGAAAGGTGATTACATTTTATAGTAGGTCAGAGTACTTGTTATTTAAACTTTTGAAAATCCATGTCTAGGGAATTTAGTACTCTTCAGCAAAGTAAACTAGAAGGCTGTATCAAATATGTATAATATAGAAGAAATTAAGCACATTTAAGTATATTTCATACATTCTGCTGAACTCAGAATAACCAAAAATATCTTTATAAAATTAAGGACAATTAAATTTCTAAGTTGTTATTGTTTAATAAGATAGGCACAGAGAAACAGATTACACACCCAGCTACTATACTTACTAATGTGCTAGATTTAGGCATTTGGTGTGCAATAGAAAGCACATGAAGCAACAAGAAGACACATTTATCTGAATAGGTGATTCTGTGTATTTATACTTTAACATAACAATTTCACTATGTTTGTGCTAGTATCCCCATTATATCTACTTGGAAAAAAGAAACATAACAATTATTTTGTTTGCCATTTGGTTTTGATAGACTTTTATACTTTGAATATCTGCTACCTTGAATATTTGCTTTTATACTTTGAATATCACCTGATGTGGTAGATTCTCTAAAAAATGTCACACAAAGATAAGGCTTTCTGGTTCTTCAATTTAATTTAATTACAATACAGTCAAAGTACACTGCTGAGGGGATTAGTGGGCAGGTCAGGAGAGGTCTGGTGGGCCATGTGCCATGTGGGTCACCTCCAGGGTGGAGATGAATCTCGGGCTGAAGTGGCTTTAGCTTCTTAGTGCTTTGCTTTAACTCCCTGCACCACGAGGGAGGGCCCATAAGACTTTTTTTTCCTGACGGTATTATGTTATATGGGAATATGGGAATAATCAAGTAAAGATAAATACTCATGTAGAATATGACAAGAAGGAAGAGATGAAGCTAAGCCAGAAGAAACCCTAGAAATATATAGAATTGGGGAGCAAATGGGAAAACCAGTGGTTTCGGTGAAGTATTATCAGATAGTGAGTGTGGTATGATAACTTCTAAAGATGTGTTAATTTGTATTTGTCATTCATATGCAGCACTGCAAACCAATATTACCTCAATAGAAAATAACCTAATTGCAAAGGAATTCTTTCTTCTGTATTTTTATTTTGATGGTAAAGTATCTCACTTTTTAAAATATATAAAAGTTCATTTTTACAGCATTTTATGCCTTTTTCCATCTCAGTTGTAATCTCTGTGGGTTTACCTCTTTTATTTATTTATTTAGTTGGTTAGTTATTTTTTAAAGATTTATTTATTTGTGCATACAGAACTGGGATACAGTCCAGAGACTCAGGGGCGGCGAGAGTTTCACCAGAGACAGAGTGGGGAGCAGAACAGGCAGATCAATGAAGTACACTGCTGAGGGGAGCAGTGGGTGGGTCAGGAGAGGTCTGCCACGCCATGTAGTCACCTCTGGGACATGTGGGAATCGAACTCATGCAGAAGTGGCTGTTAGCTTCTTAGTGTGGTGCTTTAACCCGCTGCGCCACCTACCTCTATTTTTCTTTAATGTAGCATTTTCCTTTGAATGTGTTTCTGGATCTCTTTTTTTATCCTTTCAGTTTTTTTCTTCAAAAGAGAGAGAATAAGAAGTAAAAATGTCCCTAAATTGTCATTTGGAATGAAACAGCTTAAAGAATGTTAATAAGAGTATTTTCACTTACTACATTATATTTCAGTTACTGTATAAGCAAATGAATAGTTTTAATATAGTGCAATAAAATGGTTTAGTAAAAATCAATTTAATGTTACTGTGAATTTTTTCATTATATTTAAAAGAGCGGAGGAAAACTTTAATTACTGAAACTCATTCTGGTTTTTTGTTGTAATTATGCTGGTTTTGTTGTTCTAGGTTCCATCTGTCTTGCTTGCTCCAAGTCATCTAATGGCTCTTCTGACACTTGGAATAAACTCTGCCATGGTCCTGGATTGTGGATATAGGGAAAGCCTGGTGTTACCTGTATCTTTTTTGACAACCAGCTAATTTTGTAATTTTTGCTCTACTTTGAAATAATTAGGTTTATTTATTACAATTGATTTTAATTCGTCAAACAGTTGGGTTACTATATACCATGTGGAAAGGTTCAGAAAAATTATGAAACTTAAATTTGCTTTTTGTAGAAAATATCATTATTTCTTGCTCCCAGTGTGTACTCCAAGGATCAGATTTCATGAATATTATTTTCAACTTTTAGAGTAGCATTAGCTAATTAAGATGTATCCAAAAAATTCACTATGGGCATCAAGTTCTAAAAAACCATATGAAGAGTATTTAGAGAAATGTTTAATCAAGAAAATGAAAATGAGGTGAGAATACTCAGTCAAGAAAAACTAAAACTTAATGGCAACATGAAATCTGACTTCAATTAGTGAAAGGGCTTGTTGTGGAACAGTGAATACAATTTTCTTTCTGTCTCCAAGGGCTGTTAAGATGCTACTAGTATAGTGTAGGGCTTGGGAATCAAGTACATGTTAGTACAATTCTGTTATCCTTTTTCCTAGTGTGTTAAGTTAGTCAAGTAGTTTAATCTTATTGGACTTCATTTTTCTCATCTACAGAGTGGGAATTATAATTCCACTCATATCACAGAAGCATTGTGTGACTTAAGTGAGGTGGAGTATGTAAAATATTTTGTATAGGACATGGCACATTGTAACTTGTTCAGTAATATATTTTTGTATCATCCATCATCAGAAAGAACTTATTAATTCAGGCTCTCTCGAAATGAATTACTGACTGTAAACTGGTACATTCTTTGTCATTAGAATCTCTTAAGCAGGGTAAATTTTATGTCTATTAGAAATGTTATAGTGAATATTGCTTCATGGAAAAGGATAAGTGCAGCATTTGTAATTTATATGTATACTTGTTAAAAGAAGTATTCATGGAAAGGAAATCAAGCATCATTAGATCCTAAGAAAATAAATTAGGCTGTAACTTTTAAAATTTAAAGTATTTTATATTAAGTCTTAAAGTTACCCCACAAATAGTATTATTCTCTTTATTATGTATTATTATATATATATTTATTATATATATTTTTAAGATTTATTTGTGTATACAAGAACTGGGGTATAGGAGAGGTTGTCGGGGAGAGTCAGGAGGAGGGGGAGGCAGCACAGCTGTGTTGGGAAGATTCACCAGTGATAGAGCTAGGAGTAGAACAGGCAGATCTACTGAAGCACACTGTTGAGGGGTCAGCTCTCTGGTTGGGGATTGAACTCATGCTGCAGTGGCTGGCAATAGCTTGATAGTGCTGAGACTTAACCCCTGTGCCACCACAGAGGCCCCCTATGTTCTTTATTATATAAATGAGAAGATTAAACATTGGGAAACATAGATGACCCAAGCAGCAAATTAGCAGCCCACAGTATATTTTTGTTCACTATCCTCTCAACTCTAACTGAAACAAAATCTTAAGAACATACATGAAATTTAAAATTTTATAAGCTACAGTTTTTTTGTTTTTTTTTTAAGATTTATTTATGTATTCATACAGAACTGGAGTATAGGCCAGAGGTGCAGGGGTGGTGAGGGGTGGTGAGAGGATTCCCCAGAGACAGAATGGGGAGCAAAACAGGCAGAACTGAGGAAGAACACTGCTGAGGGGAGCAATGGGTGGGTCAGGAGAGGTCTGCCTCGCCACGTGGATCACCTCCGGGGCAGGCGGGGATTGAACTCATGCTGAAGTGGCTTTTAGCTTCTTAGTGCTGTGCTTTAAGCCGCTTCACCACCAGGGAGGCCAAGCTACACTTTTTAAAGTATAAATGAAAGAGGTGGAAGTAGTATATAATCAAAACATTTCCGTATACAACTATGTAGAAATTTACAAGCTGCTTTACAGAGCTTTTTTGTATTAAGTTTGTTTGGTAAATTTGTGTGTTCTCACAGCGCATGTCATTTTACACTCCACATTTCATGTGTCCACTAGCCACATGTAGGCAGTGGCTATTCTTTTGGACTGACCAGCTTTAACTAGTGTGGGGTGTGTGTGTGTGTGTGTGTGTGTGTGTGTAGCC